GAGGGGCTGAGGACCAACACGGGAGGGCGAGTACATGAAAACAAAACCTTGTCCCACGGCTGGGGGCACAGCAAAGGGGGGCACAGCGAGCAGCAAGGCGTGCAGTCATCGTGGAAGTGCAGCAGAGTGAGGCACGACACAGAAACATGCAGATTTAAACCCAAACAAGCACTGTGCAACACTTCATCCTGCAATACTTACTGAAAGCAGTACTTTGTCACATGTGCACGTCCACCTGCCACGGCTGGGGGTCCCGGCCCCCTCTGTAGTCCCTCTACCTGCTTCCAGGTAAATAATGTGACAACACCTGGCACCAGAGGACTGACCTGGGAGTCTACAAGACATCAGCGGAGGCTCCAGCCAGCATCTGGCGCAGACCCCGCAGGAGGGGCGGGCAGAGCAGGCTCCCCCCAGACCTGCTTGTCGTCTCTCGCATCCTCGCAGCCAACTGGAGCCCCGCCGTCCTGTCGCAGCGCCGGCGGGTCTCAGCGGTGCCCGCCCCGCGCCCCGGCGGCCGCAGCGGACGGGCTAATGCTGGCCGGCATAGCCGGGGCTCGGGGCGGCCCGGCCGGCCGCGGCTGGGGACGAGCTCGGGCGCCGTTCAGCGGCCGCGAGCATCGCGGCCCGAGCGCCGGGGCCGCGGGGCCGGGGTCGGCAGCGGGCTCCGGGAGGCAGGGGCCGGCATGCGGGGACGGGCGGGCCGCTCCTCGCCCCGCACCGGCCCCGGGACCGGCGCCGCCTCAGAGCCCGCGGCGGCTCGCGGCCGGTCCACGGCTGCCGCCCGCTCCGCCGCTCGCCCTGCGCCGTGACAAACACCCCGGGGGCGGCGGCGGCGGCCAGCGAAGGCAGCGGCGTCCCGGGCGGAGGGCCAGGAGGGAGCGGGGAATCGGCGGCGGCCCCGGTCACCCCGGGCGCGCCCACGGAGCCATCACCGCGCCCGACACCTTCTCACACCCTCAAGTCCCGGCCGGGCCGGCACCTGCCCCGGAGCACCGGGGCACTTAGCAAGGGGGAAGCGCCGAGACCGCGCCGCAGGGCGCTCCGGGTCCCGCCACCGCCCTCAGCCCACGCCGGGGCCCCCCATCGCGGGACTCCGGCCGCGTCCGACGGGCTCCCCGCCCCGCGCTCAGCGCCGGCCCAGTGCGGCTGCGGGCGGGCGGCGGCTGCCGCCGCCTCCCATTGTCTGCGCGGCGCGGCCGGGCGGGCCCTGCCCCGCTCCCCCGCTCCCCCGCTCCCGCTCCGCTCCGCTCCGCGCCCGCCGCCGGGCCCGCCCCGCCCTGACGTCACCGGGCCCCATTGGCGGCCGCCGCCGTGTTTACAGCGGCCCCGCACCGGGCACCGACCGCCCGCCGCCCCCGGAACGTGCCGCACGCCAGAGAGTCAGCCCCGGGACGCGCCATCCCCGGGTCACCTTCCCGCTCATACGCGCAGTTCTCATTTCGCTACACACACAGTATTTGTACGTTTTGTTATTGCTCTAATCTGCAAATCTGCAGAGCGTTAAAACCGGACAGAATTAAGGAGACTGTGCGGTCCCACGATCCACGGAGGAGCCGCAGCCCCCAGGCAGACTCCTCGGGGCAGCAGGGTGCGTTCAGTCATCGGCCTGAGAACAGACACGGCTTCCCGGAGGAATCTGATGTCTGACCATGAAGTCAGGCTGGCTCAGAAGACACCACTCAGCATAGGAAATTAATTATTCCTTGCCTCAATTCAATCACATTATGTTCAAAATGGGAAAGGACAGTCTGGGAAATACAGTCAGAGCAGTAGGAGATTGGCTTCTTGAAACTGTCCTTATCAGTGTGTGAAAGGAAAAAATCACCAAACACATCTCAGCAGGATATATAAACAGAACCAACAAAACCTTCACACTACAGAGGAGTCAGTAGAGGGGAGGATGAACAGAAACTTGTGAAGTTTACTGGATAGCTCCTATCAAGGAACAAGGTATCTGTGTCCTCCACCAATGCTCACACATCCTGCAAGCTACATCACAGCCTTGTAACATGGTACAAAACATTCATCCCTCTTCCCTGAGAGAACCCAAACAGATAATCTTTTATGGTAACATCCAAGATATAAATACCAGTCACCTCTACCCAGATGGAAAGAGGAGTGAAAAATAGTGATACTGTTTATCAACACAGACTTATTTCCTACTGAAAGTCTCCTAGGGCTGCAAAACATTCACTGATACTGAACGCATCTCTCCTACATTTCATCACATGCTAAGAACGGCATCTGATCCCACTAAACAGACACATGCCGTGGGTTTTGGTGATGAACGTCACCACTGTAAAGGAATCATGTACCTGTCAAACACACACACACTGTTTGCTCACAGATGATGCCACGCCAAAGTGAGAGTTTGGATACCCCCGGTACGGCCATGTCATGCTAACACAAATGAGCCACCAAGCCCCAAGCCTCCTCCCAGTCTTTTTATGTTCTCCAGCTGGGAAAGACAGCCAGATCATAAACTGAGAACCCAGCAGTAGCTGAAAGGCTGCCTGGCAGGTGCTCCTGCATCAGTGCCATTTACATTCAGTACCAGGCACACCCTTGTCCAACCCATACACACTTGACTCATCAGTACACACATGGCCTGCCCCTATTTTTAGGTTCTGTCCTCTTTCCTGCAGATGCATAAGTGTAATGCCAACAGCACTTACAGCCATTTCCCTAGAATTTCTGATCACATCCCATGCCAAGGAAACATCATCTCTACAGACGCTTTATGAAAGCAGCAAAGACTTCTGTGGAGGGAAACACACATGCTTTCCATGGGGAATCTGTAGTGAAATATCTTTATAATTTGTTATGCATCTGCTGTGAGAAGATCTCTGCCCTTCAGTTCAGCCTTCAGTTCTTCAAGCCTCATTTGCTTTTTGTTTTTCTTTCTTAAAAGAACCTTTCTACAGCCAGTGAATGAAAAGTGATGTCAAATGGCTATAAAAGCACACAGTGGCTTCTGAGAACCGAGTTTCACACAGAAAACAAAAAAGGCTGCCAAGTTTATCAGCAGAGATCAGGATCACATGAGAGTACTTCCTTTATGAGAAAAAGGTTTGCTTCGGAAAGAAAGAACACCACTATTCTAATTAATTAGAAAAAATGCAAGAACATCAGCAGCTGGGTCAACTGCCCATTTGTAAAAGATCTAATTCATCTATTGTGTGAAACAACGAAAACTCAGAATAAAACAAGCATCTCTGTATAGTTCAGAACAGGGTGCACAATCCTTCATGGCACAGCAGACAGAAGAATCCCTTCAGAGGATGGCACAGAACATGCTCCCTTCACATTCCTCCTCTGCCATTCCTACACTTGGCTCTAGAAGCAGGAGCATGGTGGGAGATGGTCTCACAACCCTTCCCAGTCATTAGCAGGACTGCTCCCTCATCCCAAAGGCCAGTACTTGTGCTGTGCCCAAAAAAAAGATAGTGATTTTTGTCTTAATGTAACTGAAAACATAGAGTTCACATATAGAGTGACTTTGACTTAATTTTAAAGGAATTTGTGGAAGGGAATTGTTTATCTAAATTAAGATGAGATACAAATTGCTTATTCTTTTCCTACAGTGTTCCTGGGTATGGCTGTTAACCCCATCTCTCTGGCAGTAGTCATTCCAGCTGGAATCATGAACTGTGCTTTAACAATGCAATGCAAAGGAACTCAGAGCATTCCACCGAGTTAATTAAAAAGAATTTTAAATTCCTGTCAATATTTTGTGACTACAAATATTCCTCGAAAATCTTCCCTCAAGACTATGTAACACTCAGTAGGGCAAGGATTTTAAGCAAGGAAATGAAAGCAAACAGAGAAGTCAGGGATTTGTGTATTTATTCAATTGATAGAATCAAATCACATTAGCTTTTACCTTGGCTAGCTAAGCTAACATTTGTTCTCTAGCAGTAAATTAGAAGATGTAGCTGGTCCTTTAAATAATAGTGTAATTTGCTCCCTTTGGAGCACTGTGCATCAAGGCAGAGGCTTCTGATAAGTCATGGTTAGTATAATTATTCAGTCTTTTTCCCTGAAGGGCCTCTGCAATGCAGCGGTCCTCTTACTTTTTTTTTCCCCTCCCTGTTAGCAATGCCCTAGTTTGTTCCCTGCTGCAGTCCCCCTCCCTTCCACCATCACCACAGCATAACAACCTCTAATTGAGAGCTGGGCTGCTAACCAAGAGCACCCAGAGAAACTGCAGGGACACCAGAGACAGCACTCAGCCACCTTCTCAGCTCCTCTGAGTTCAGCAACACTGAGGGAACTGTCAAACAAGCGATTCAAAACCTACCCACTTGGCATTCCAGCCCTGGAGAGATTGCTGAGTATCAATCACAATCACATGCTATCAGCTGCACTCCACAGGCAGCAGGAGGCCTCGGCAGCAGATGAAAAGCACCTACAGACTCTTACAATCTTCTCAAGTCAAGCAAATTCGATTTTGACGCTAAACATAAGACTTTGTGTAAGAGCCAGTTCTATTTCTGTTTGCAACCATGCCTCTGCAGCCACATCACAAACCTCTCTTCACTCTGCAGTACCCACAGTGCTCAGTCTCCATGCTGCTCTTGGAAAGTGGTACCATCTCAACTTCTTTGAAATGTTCCTCTTGTACATGCCTCACTGTCTCCTCATTTTCTACTAAAATAAACACACATTTTTCTAGGCAAGGTCAAGTTTCAGATTTCTCAGGAAAGGCAATTCCAGGGTAAATGCTTCTCTACTTCTAGAAACTGGGCCATATGATCAGCTTTCTATTCAGACAAAAAAAAAATCTACCCCTTTGTTACCTTGTATAAAAGCCAGCAACATTCTGTTCACACCAACAGAACTAATAAGACTTTTCAGTGAGAGGACTTTGATTAACATTGCCACATCCCTTCCTGTCAGGACAGCTTGCCCCTCTACATCCATCCCCAGCAGGAGCTGCTCTGTCATTCACAGTTCTACCTTTGGTGTGCTTTATTAAAGAAAATACCCATGCTTCTTACCGTCCAAGGACAGCCAGTCATGCTGGGAGGAAGGCAGGGTTGGCAGAGCTCTGGCTTTATATTCAAATACAACAGAATTGGAGATGATCTGATTGTTGAAGGCAACTTGCAAAGTCACAAGCCCAGTGTCATGAGCTAAAAGGAAAGTACGTGTTGTCAGACAGAAAACTCCCCACAGAAAGCCCCAGCTAGGAATTACCCCCATGTGCTAAGTATTGGGCTGAGAGCAGGTAAAGAGACAGGCTGCTTAACACAGTATTTTTGTGACTATACAATTCAAAAGTCCAAAATACCAGTTGGTATATTTAAACATGGACATTTTTAAGCTTAAGAGTCATCTAATGGGTTGCTCTGGCAAAAGGCAGAATCACATGTGTCTTTAAAGACTGAGCAGCCTCACTGCATTTCCAGTGGAAAGCTGGGGCCTAGCAATGAAACCAAGTTATTCTGCATTCACTTGAAGTCATATACTGAGGGCAATCACTACTGAAAATCTCTGTGGGGAGGTTAGAGGTAGCAAAGGGCAAAATGTAGGCAAATCGAGTCAGCAGAGCAGTGAGTGCACCCCTGAATAACAGCTACTCTTTAATCTACTCTTTCAAAACGAAAGGAATGTTTAGAATTATTTTAAATTATTTCAAATAATATTTTCAAGTTAATTCAGAGATTCTAAAGAGTATTTGTTGTGATCTGTTGTGATGTATCAAGATGCAAAATTTCTGTTTTCACACTAAATTGGCCAAAGAAAAAGGAAAATCTTCTCAATGCCTAAGCACTTTGGTACGGGTGTATGACAAAATGAGGCTCCAGCTGTAGGAGAGCAGTGCTCCTTACCTGGGCAGTAGCAGCGCAGTACCCCTGGCTGAATTAAAGATGCAGGCACTGAGATCTGATCAAACAGACAGCTGTAATTATTGCTGGCTTCCTGCCACGGGCCGGTAATCAGGACTTTTACTCCTCCCTGTGAGGGAAAAAAGGGAGAGACCCAAGCGTGACAGGAGAGGCCACGGCTGGGGAGGAGCGCGGCCGAACGCGCCCGCCGCCCCTTCCCCGCGGCCGTGCTGCCCTCGGGCGGCCGCCGGGGGAGCGGCACAGCCGGGCACGGGCACCGGGAACGGG